GTGGATAATTGTGTCACTTCTGTGAATACCGAAGAGGAATTGCGGAACTTCATCAATAAATCGACCGAAATAATGGGCAAAGGAAAATTTCACTTAAGATGCTGGGAGCATACGAAAATACATAATGATGAAGATGAAGAAAAAGAGGAAGTAACTAAAGTACTTGGTTTACTGTGGAACAAACGAGAAGATTCCTTGTTTTGTGATGTACCAAAAATGAAGATGAAAGATATGCCAATCACACGGCGTACAGTGTTATCTGTGGCTCAAAGAATATTTGATCCAATTGGATTTAGTTGTCCAGTCACATTGATGCCAAAATTGATTCTGCAAAAAAGTTGGCAAGAAAAACTAAGTTGGGATACAAAATTAACAGAAGATTTGAAAAAGGAATTCTTAGTTTGGCTTGAGGATTTATCTTTATTATCATCAGTGAGAATTTCTCGCCAAGCAACAGCAGTTAATAGAATTTCCAGTAGTTTGCATGTTTTGCATGTTTGGTTGTCCAAGTCTAAAGAAGAGTGGCCTAATTCAACCCCAATAGAAAATGAAGAGGAAATTACTTAGAGCAGAGAAAAACCGTTGTGGCAACTCTTACCTGCGAGAACACTGAAAATTCATGGATGCTAGCATATAAAATTTTAAGAATGACGGCATGGATTCTAGGATTCCTCAAAAATGCTCAGAAAACAAGAACTGAACGAGAGATTGGCGAGCTGAAATTGTACGAATTGAATGAGGCTGAAAAGATATTACTGAAGCAGATTCAGCAAAAGTCATTTAATGACGAAGATATCTCAAGGTTAAAATCTTTATGCGTCTTTAAAGACGAAGAAGGTATCTTAAGAGTAAGCACCAAGTTAACTGAAAGAAAAGATCTTGAAAGCTTTATCAGTCCTATACTGATGCCAAGCACGCATAAATTTGTGGAATTAATGATTTTTTACATGCACAAAAGTATGTGCCATGCGGGGATTCAGATATTGATGTCTAAATTAAGAGAACGATTCTGGATTATAAGATCTCGTAAGACGATTCGCAAAGTTTTAGCTCGTTGCGTGAGATGTAAAAGACACCAAACTACGAGGATCGAATGCAATCCAGGAGTGTTACCTGAAAACAGAGTCAAAGATGCATTGGTGTTTGCAATAACAGGAATAGATTTGGCGGGACCTTTGATGCTTAGAGAAAAATGCAAAGCATGGATAATTATATTTACATGTACTGTCTACAGAGCCATCCATTTGGAATTGATAACTTCTCAATCAACACAAAGTTTTTTGCTTGGTTTACGACGATTTATAGCCAGACGAGGAAGGCCGAAAGTTATTTATAGCGATAATGGCACCAATTTTACAGGAGCTAACAACCTATTTAAATCGTTAGATTGGAAAATGATCGAAATTGAAGCATCTGTGAATAGGATTCAATGGAACTTTAATCCTCCTGCTTCCCCATGGTGGGGAGGATTTTGGGAAAGAATGGTGCAGATGGTTAAAAAACTTCTTCGTAGGGTTTTAGGTCAATCAGCTTTAAATTATGAAGAAATGACGAGCGTCCTTTGTGATTGTGAGACAACAATAAATTCTAGACCTCTCACTTATGTCTCAGAACAAGGGGATGAACTCATTCCATTGACGCCAGCTATGTTCTTGAAAGAAATAGATGATGTCGGAGTGCCAGATTTAGATCAACTTGATCAAGTAAATTTGAATAAAAGATTAAGGTACCAGCAAAATTTGCGCAATGCTTTAAGAGAAAGATTTAGAAGTGANACAATCTTCAATTTGTCAGTATTCTTCAATTTGGCCCACTATACCATACAAACTCCAACCTCACCTGATATTCCATCATCTCAACATAAATGGCACCCTGAATATTCCTTCTCCATAGGAGTAGTCATCCATTTGTCTCGGATTGACTCTTCTAGAAAATATACTAGTTCAGTTAATGGGGTACTTGGAGGAGAAAATGCTGCCAATACGCTAGTTCACTTAACGAACCCAGGGGAAGAACTACTGTCGGGCACAGTAGTCCATGTGTTTTGGATTGGTCCAATACATTATTTAACTTTATGAGGTACCTTCGGAAGGAACTACTATCGTGAACAGAAGTCCACTTGTCTTGGGTTGATCCACTACACTAGTTCACTTAATGGAGTACCTTCGGGAAGAATTACTATCGAGAACAGTAGTTAATTTGCTTGGATTAAAGCGCAAAAATGAGAAGTAGCAGATTGTTTGAAATTGAGTAAAAATTTTTTTCTCCAAAATAAATTGTTTTTTCGAACAAACTACTTTGTGCATCAATTGAAAACTAATAAAAGAACTTTGCTTATCTCTTTTTACATCATTAAGGATATTTCTAAAGCATAATCATAATCCAGTAAATTGCTTGTGGATTAGCCTGCGTATACGACCTCACAATAGTATCCCCTGGAGAATTCCAGAAACTTTGTTAAGATGGAAGAAAGTTTCATTTATTGAGGATTAACTCTGTTTGCATTTATATTTGAGCTGCAGGTTTATGGACAGAAAATTTACTTTCGTACAGCTTCATCAGCGGATTATTGTAACTGGAGATTTCCTTTCCTGGGCGAAATTGTGAATACTTTTAGAAATAACAGGAAGGTTATTCTGGTGCTATTGTCATTTGGTTTCTGGAAAATACTCGATAAATTTATTATAAAGAGAAAAAAAAAGAGTTTTGTTTCAGATTCAATGCTTATTTTAAATATATAGTTTCAAGTTCGTTGGATTGCAGTTCATGTTAGCTAATGTTGGCCATAATTTAATTCCAAAAAATTATTTTTGTTTCATTTTAATTAATAATATACGATTTACTTTATTGTACTTTGCGCTTCATTTCACTTTACGATTTAATTTATTTAGCGCTTTACTTTACTTTGTATTTCACTTTATGTTTTATGCTTTACTTTGCTGTAATTTATGTTAATCTATTGCACTTAACGCTTTACTTTATACCTTGCACTTTATTTTACTCTTTCTTTTTCTCTAAGATTTATGGTTTGCTTTTTTTAACTTTGCTTTTTACTCAAATTCTACTTTACTTTTCGCTTTACACTAAAATTTACTTTATGCTTATTTTACGTTTTAATTTATTTTATGATTTACTTTTTACTTTACTCTTTACTCTACATTCTGCTTTACCTTTCTCAAACTTATCAATATTGTTTAGAGCTTTCATAGATTTGACGAACTGACAATAAATTATGAATAAAAAAGTGAACACTCTATAAAAATACACTATAAGGCAAAAAATTAGTTTCCTTATAAAAATGATCACATCTCCTTAAATATTTCAGTTAGGCTTACGAAATTTCATACAATTATCGCAAATGGTAATGAAAGCTTATGTATTTTTTGACATTGAGTGTTTAAAAGCACTTCTTTTCGTTTGCAATTTATTAGAGGTCTCTCAAACCTTTCAAAGCTTTGAATTTTATTGATAATAATAAAAATTCTCATGACCTTAACATCCTTAAAGTTATAAAATGATTATCTAAGTATTTTTTAAGAAATTTAGAAAAATGTCAAAAACTGAAATTCTCTTCTGTTATTGTAGGGTAGTATGTGTTTTCCCAACTTTATGTCTATTTTAAAATAAATTTACATTAAAACAAAGATTATATTCCCTGAGATAAAGTTGTTTCTTAAAAAAAATGTTTTTTTGAGAAGAAAATTGTTAAGGGAATTTGCATAGGGTATATTTTAAGATTGAATATGTATATCTGTAAAATTCACTATATTCATCTAAAATTTTGAAATTTCTTTTAGATTTTTTTTTCTCATACACAAAAGAGAAGTAAAAAGGTCTTTGTATAGACACATATTTTTTTTAGAGAATTTGAGCATGAGAATAAATCTATTACATCAAGGGAGATTTTTGTAAAAAAATAAAGCACATTTGCAATGGAAATCTCTTGTTAAAATAACGATCTCAAGTTTTCTGTTTATGAAGTTAAGAAAGGGAAGATAGAGGAATGTTTTTTCAAAAGCACTCATTTTCGTTTGAAAATAAACTTTTAAAACGTTTGTATAGCTCATTATAAATTTTTCTCCGTTTAAAAATTGAAGTGTTTCTATTCAAAAACACTTAAAAAACAGCAGATAGAAAAAAAGATTTTTTTTTTCGAATGAAAAATTGAATAAACTTGCTATTGAAATACTTACTGATTTTAAGCATTTATAAACTGAATTTCTATTTTAAGAAATTATATTTCATTTATATATATATAGCATGGAGTTAACAAATTTTAAATTTCAAACTTGCTTTATACAATAAAATATCGCATATTTGGACTGGTTAATTAATATTCGTTAATACGAAAGTTATTCGGAAAGTACGTTTCCTGCGGTATATAAAAGGAAACAAAGTGTAACTACCCAAAAAGATTTATAGTAAAATATACAGCAATATTTCAGCTATTTCTCAATCGAAAAAGCATTGGAATTGCAACACTTGTTATAAATTGGGAATTTTTGTAGTCCTGTATCACAGGAGTCAGCCGCCTGAGAATCTGAGCCAGCATATCACAGTTGCATCTATGCATTCGTCTGTAAGAAAGTGATGACCGGATTAGAAATTCCAGAAACATGAAAATTGAATATTATCGAAATTGAATATTGTCGAAATTTTTGCAATAAGTTTTTACGGGTAATTATGACTTGCTTCTTTTCAAGGAATGTGGGAAACATGCATTACGGATGATCCTTGCGTTTTACGTTACGTAATTAGAACAAACTTTTTAAAATAGATAAGACATATTTTTAGACCCCTTTTACACAATTTTAGATGAGAAAATAAGTATAGGCTAAAAAGCAGAAAACTTACATGTTAAAAAAGAAATAACATTCCATATTGCCGAGTGTCTATTGCATATTCTTAATTCATATACTTGTTAAAAAGCAGTTGTTGCTGAGAAAGAGATAATAGCAAAGTAACAAGTTATTAATGGAAATTAGTGTTCTATATTGTCAGGTTATGATTACATATTCTTAACCCTGACTTGTTGCTTAAAAACAGCTCTTTGTGAGAAATAGTTCATAGAAAAGCAAGACAAGATGTTATAAAATTAGTATTCTGTATTGCTTGACCACCATAATACATTCTGAAACTCATACTTTATTGCTTAAAAAAAGTTCTTGATGAGAAAAAGTTAATAGTAAAGTTATAAAATTAGTATCGCATACTGTCTGTCTATATTAACTCATTTTTAGACCCAAAATTCGTTGCTTAAAAGCAACTCTTAATGA